GTTGGGAGGCTGCTGCTCGCAGCCCTCGGTGTCTGGCTGGCGATGGCAAGCTGAGCTGGAGTCTCAGGGTGCGCCAGCGTGGGCGCTGTGCCCCCCTGCCGTAGAGGCACCTCCTGAGATGCCGAGAGCCAGAGGTGAACCCTGCGAGACCCTGCCCGCAGCGCTGGCCCTTCCCCACCACCCTCCTCTCCTGATCTCCGGCTGCCCTGTCCCAGATCACCTCCCTGTACTTCCCACCGCCGCAACTGGGACCAGTTTGACTATGTTCTTCCTTAATCCGGCGCATCTGGGGAGGGGGCGGAGGGCGGGGAGCTCTCTCCACGTGAGTTTGTTTCGGGGGGGGGGGCGCCCATCCCGCTCCCTCCAGTTTAGTCTTTGGGGTTTGTTGACTTTTTTGTTTGTTTTTTTTTTTAAATGGAATTCTAACGAAGAGGGGGCCGGGGCCCCAGAAGCCGCGCCGGGGGCTGAGGGCGGCAGCTGTTCGGCAGAGCGCAGCCAGCTCCAGCTCCAGCTTGGAGTTATGGAGAGGAAGGGCAGCGTGTCCAATCGAAGCCGGAATGGTCCCATGTGGCTCCCAGGGGAGCGGGAGCGGGTGCTTTTGTGAAGCTGTATTTTCCTCTGGCGACCATGTGCTCTCGTCCCCCCCAGCAGCTCTCCCCTGCCAGGCCGATTGTTAGCAGGGACAATTCCTTTTCTTGTTCCCCGGACGCCCGTGCATGTAACCGCTGGTTGTACATTGTCCCTCCCTGATCCAGACACCCTTTGGGCAAAGGTTAGGAGGGGAGGCAGGCCGGGGCGGGAGGCACAAGATGTGCTTCCTCCTCATGCTGCCCCAATTCTGAACTCTGATCCCTTGATCTTATTCGTTTCTTCCCGCCATCAGGTGCCAACCCCCTGCAGAAGAACGAAATGGGACATACGCCCCTGGATTACGCCCGGGACGGGGAGGTCATGAGCCTTCTGAAAGCCTCAGAGACGAAGGTGAGCCTGAGATCCGGGTGACCCTGTGTTTCCTTTCCCCCTGCGAGAACGGTTTTCAAGACGACCTGGAGCAAGCGGTGGAAGGGAGCCTGAGCGCGCCTGCACCGCCCTGCTTTTCCAAGGGGGGATTGTACAGATCGGTGGCGTGACGCCTAAGGGAAAAGAAAAAAAAAACCCCACTCCTGAAGCATTTTAGCTGCGTGCCCTCCTCTTCCTCAGCGGAGACCCACACAGGACCCGTGATGCTCTTCTCGACCCCCCTTGGCAAAAATACAGCAAAATCAGGGGGTTGTTCTAATCAGGGGGTTGTTCTTAACGCTGTTATTTTCTGAAATTCCTGCTCAAAGAATTCCAGGTCTGAGGATCCAGGGGCCAGCTGTGGGCCCGGGGTCCGCGCATTCCCCGGCAACAGCCTAAGGCGAAAGGCGCCCGTTCCTGCCGCCCGGTTGTGCAGTGCCCCTCTCACCCCTTCGGCCTCGCCGCCTCCGTGCGTGGGCCGGAGCTCAGCGTCTCCCGTGGGCGAGTCCCTCTCGTGAGGTGTTTGAAAGAGGGAAAAGAGCCGCGTTTGCTATAGTGGTTCCACTAAAAACACCAGGAGTAAGTAGATTTACGGAGCGGCGAGTGATCGGACAATGAGGGATCTGCAGCCCGATGTCAAGGATATAAAATTCCTGGGTATGAGGCCTTAACTCAAGCAGGAGCGGCTGGAGAGGTGGGGGCGTGTGAACCTCGTGGGGTTCAACAAGGCCAAGGGCAAGGTCCTGCCCCTGGGTGGGGGCAACCCCCGGTACCCACACAGGCTGGGGGTGAAGGGATGGAGAGCAGCCCTGCCCAGAGGGACTTGGGG